TGCAGTAAAGCTTCTCCTGGTCCCAGGCTGGACCTGGGGGTGGGGTGAGGACTTAGCCTCCTTTCTCTGTCAGCTGCCTCCCTCTTGCTAAACCTCCAGAGATGGTGGTTAGGGAACAGAGGGATGCTGGGGGCAGGAAGTGTCTTTTGGCTGGCATTCCTGTGACCTGGCATCCATGCCCCTGGCTATTGAACGCTCCACACTGCATCCTTTAGAGGCCCCCACTGATGCATGTCCCTCCCCTCTCCAGCTGATTCACGCTTCTTGGTTCCTCCGTCAGCTGTTGGGTATCTTGTCCAGCATGGGGCATGGGGCGAGACATTTCTCTTCTGTGCAGTGCACGCCCATAGTTCCAGCTGCCGCCCTTTGATTCATGCCTGAATTGAGCAGCATGCCCCTCTCGTCTTCCGTGGAATTTGGGTGAATAAGTGGCTGAGGATACAACAGCATTCTCTGAAGACATTCCAGATGTTCATCTCAGCCCGTTTGTGCCTTGAGGGCTCAGTGGCCTCTTTCTCTGAGACCTCACCTCAGACAGGGGGCAACACTTACTATTTTCCTTTCAGAGTAGTATGTGTTCAAATTGGAATTCCATTTTAAAAAGCAGGTGGATCTCTGTGAGATCAAGGCCAACCTAGGTCTATATAGTGAGTTCCAGACCAGCTGGGGCTACAGGGAGATCCCATCTCCAAAACTCCTCCCCCCAAAACAACAATAACAAAAACAAATCAAACAATGTCTCATTTTAAAATCCAGTTACACACCCAGAATTGAGAGAGAGAGAGAGAGAGAGAGAGAGAGAGAGAGAGGAAGATGTCATCAGAACCAGTGATTTCTACACTCTGTGGATTGTGACCAGAGACTTTTGTGGTGAAATTTTGTTACTGCGGCTTTAAATTTTTTCAATCATAGCAATAATCCATAAGCATATTACTGCACTAGACACCAGGACAAACTGAAACTCTGGTGTGGCTGTCCTCACCCTCCACAGAGATGACAAATCCCTTCAGATTCATGGATCTTAATTTTCTTTTCATAAGTTTTAGCTCAACAGCTTGCTTTTCGCCTAATGTATCTTTGAATCTTTATATGTTTTGACCTTTATATGAAATTAGCTCATTGATAGCTACATACTGTTCCAGAAAGCTACGCACTTTGATGGTGCAGATATTAACAGACATTAGTTAGGCCTGACATTTTACTCTCATAACAGACTGTCCCAGAAGACATGCTTCTGTGTGGCTGCGCATGGTAGTCTCTGGTTCACACGTGAAACAGCCGATCTTAGAAAAGGACACAATTCTTCTCTCAAAAACAGTGGTTTATTTCCTCACACTTTTCCCTAAACATGGCAATAACATCTTAAAAATATTTACACGTTTGTAGGTGAGAAATCAGGGGATCTTAATCCCACGTCCACAAGAGCACAGCGGGTATGTGTGTTTGCATTTGCACATTATTCTGAGCCTTAGCTACTTTTTATTTTTTCCCTTTTCTTTCTTTCCTTCATTTTTTTAGTTCTTTGAGGATTTTATACAATATACTTTGATCTTATTCCCCATTCCCTACTCACCCAACTTCACACCTCCCCCACCTCTGGTCTTTTTTTTTTCATTTAAAAAGTTCACTGAGTCCAATTTGTGTTGCCCAGGTACTCTTAGGTGTGTGGCCATCCACTGCAGGAGCTCCACCTAGCAGAGACCACACCCTCAAAGGGAACTGACTCTCCCTCTCCCAGCGGTGATCAAATCTGATAGCTCCTTGGCTAAGCCTGGGACATCATGCCCACTTCCCCCACCGTGCAGGGATTCTGTCTGGCCTGAGCTTGCACAGGTTTTGGACATGCTGTCACAACTACTGTGAGCTCACACGTACACCTATCATAACAGTAAGTCATTAGGAATTGTAAAGTATGTTCACTTAGCCGAATGTTAGTGGTCATGTTCTCCCCTGGGCCCTGCGGTCTGTCTCACCACAGTTCTTGGCCCAAGTAACAGGGATGGGCTTCATCTTGTGGAAGGCCCTTAAGTCCAACAGAACTGTGTGATTCCTACCACTGCTGCCATCACTGGGCCTTTCCAGGCCAGTCATCAACACGGTTCTCAGGCTCACAACTGGATAAGACCGATGGCGCCAGTGGCAGCTGCTCCTCCCTCCTGGGTGTCAAGGCTGCTCTTTCCCAGACCCCAGGGCTGATGAGAAGACCAGGTCAGCAGAGGCACATTCAGACACAGGAAACCAGGTTCAGTGGCACAGATCCACTTTATTGCAGGAAAGCACAAGCTTATATAGGGGTAGTGGTCCAATCACAGTACAGCAAGTAGGATACATTATTAGCATAACAGACGTAACATCCTGTCACAGAATATAAGGTAGGATGCCTCATTAGCATTAATGGGTTTCAGATTACAGAGCCTGGATTCCTGGAAACCACATGACCCTGACTTTTATAATATCTAAGTGTTGTAATTTGGAATTCCAAGGGTGGTGATTAGGGAATGGTGAGCTCTAGGCATCAGTCTCATGATCTGCCACTGGGAGCAAATGTCACAAGGTGTTCCTTGTGGCTCCAGGGGTGGGGCCATTGCCTCAGGCCTGCTGTATGGCTGTCAATAAGACTTTCACCCTAGGCTCAAGCCTGTCTCCCCCAGGATGGTTCCTTTTCTCCCTCACTAGCCTGCACAACACCTTCCGGTAGCCAGTGGAGAACGAAGCTTTGAGGTTAGTGTCTACTTGATTGACTCACTGTGCAGTGTCTTCAGCATTAGGGTCTTACTATCAAGTTCTGGAGTATAACCAATAGCAACAGCAATAGCCTGTGATGTTTGGGCAGCGGGGACCTTGTTTTTTAATCATCTTGTTTCTTGTCTTTCCTCATTATTATATATGACAAAGGTGCCACTTTCTATCTCAAATGCTGGTGTATTGATTTCTCCTTATCTAATAGTGACCTTTATGTATGTATTATTATAAAGTTTGTGCTTTCTGTGTCTTACAGTAACCTCACAATATGCCTAGGTTTGGATTAATTTAATTTTTCTGGCTTAAGAGCCACTATGAGCCAGGTGTGGTGGCACATGCCTTTAATCCCAGCACTTGGGAGGCAGAGGCAGGCAGATCTCTGTGAGTTCAAGGCCAGCCTGGTCTACATAGTGAGTTCCAGGACAGCTGGGGCTACAGGTAGACCCTGTCTCAAAAAGACAAAAAAAAAAAAAATTATGATTCCTGAAGCTGGCAAATCTTGAGTTTCATTTGGACATTCTTACATTATTATTATTATCATCATCATTTTTATTTTTAAAAAATGTTTTATGTGTATGAGTATATTGCCTGCATGTATGTACGTGCACCCATGTCATGTAATGCCCGAGGAGTTCGGAAGAGAGTATTGGATCCCATGAAACTCGAGTTACAGATGGTTATTAGCTGCCGTGTGGGTGCTGGGAATTGAACCCAGGTCCTCTTAAGAGTAGCCAGTGCTCTTAACTGCTGAGCCATCTCTCCAGCCCTATTTTTAATTTTTTTTATGAGACAGGTTCTTGCTATATAGGCCAGGTTGGTCAGCATCTTATGACCCCCTGTGTCTGAGTCCTGAGATCACAGACATGGTTTCATTCCTCAGTGATCTTCATGTCCCCCATTCAATGTATGCTGGACCTTCTCACTCTGTCTTCCACTTTGTGTCATCCCTCACTCACTGAGCTTCGTCTAGTATGACTTAGAAAGCTCTACCATCTGTGTCCTCAGTTCTTTCATTAACTGTCTAGTCTCTTAGTTTCAGTTTCAGGGGTCAGAGATTTAGGTCAGTGGCAGAACATCTGCCTTGTGATGGCAAAGTCCTGAGTTCGGTCCCTAGCACCAGGAAAAAAAAAAAAAAATCACAAAACATGTCAATACCTAAATCTTTCTTTTACATTTCAAGTAGCTTCTGTTCTTTTAAAATGTAGCTTCTTTCTTAAATATTATGTTCTTTTTACCATCTTACAGCTTCCTTATTTCCTTCATCACTTTAAGCATGTTTATATAATGTCTTTATGTGTTTATTCTGTTTGAGGAACTTTCAGGCTGTCTACTCCTGAGGACGTGGCTCAGATGGGTCTCTTCTTTCAGTGTTTATGATTTTACATCTTGAGCTCATGTTAAGTGGAACTTTACCTGTGGTAATTTGTTGTGATCTGTGTCAAGTCAAAGAACCAGGTTCCGTTCCTTAGTTTTCAGCAGAAATGGCATTCTCAGACAATGAACACAGCATGAATTCAAAGCCCCAACTGTGCTGGAACTTTCAGGGAGTCTGTTTTAAAATTGGAGGTGTGTACAGTGCAGACAGGGTCACTGTCTCATGCAGTGAGCAGAGATCTCAGGTTTGTAGCCATTGGGGCTTCTGGCTGTGTGTCAGGATTGTCTTATGATCTCCTCCCGAATATGGGCCTGGCTTCATCCTTGATGGCCACACATCCTGTGCTATGTCATCGCTGACATCACCGTTTCCTCTCCTCCCCACTCCACTGGTCACTGGAGAGTTAGTGCATCTCTGTTCATTGCATCCACGGAGGCAGCTCTGTCCTACTTTGGACCAATATGCTTAAAAGAATGTTTGTTTACCATATTTTATCTAATCTATCAACTGTTTATAACGGACAGTTTCCCTTGGCCAGGTAAGCTAATCTGTTGCAATCTTGCAGATAAAATAGCAAATAAAGTAGTTAAATTTTCATGTTCAGTTGATATAAATACCAGTTTAGGTCACACAGATGTAGAAGGAATCTTGTGATATATCAAGGCAATCCAGGCCAGATCCTAATTTCAGAAAAACAGCTACTAAGACTTGGTAACGATATCCTTTCCAGGCCAAACGTTTGGTTACTGGCAGAGTCACGTATGGGGCCATGTCACATCGGATGCAGGACGTGTCCCTGACTGTGCTCTGCTTTTACACACTTCTATTTCAGTTAATAGATGCTGGACCTCCGGAGGAGAAATGTCTACCAGAGCCACCAAGGTGACAGCGAGAGACGTTTCCAATGACAGCAATTTCAACATGGCCCAGGAGCAGCCCCCCAGGAAAGGTAAAACCACATGTGAAAATCTGGCGGCCAAGAAAAGGATGCGTGTCAGCTCAGCCCCTTCTTCTTGGTGTAGAGCTTTGCTCTCTCCACCTCCAAGGGCCAAGAGCGCCGAATAGCAACAAATCGGTTTTATTCCTAATGATGTCATTTCTCACAGGAAACCCTGAATGCATTATAGGACAAACAAGTATTTGGAGATGAAAACAAGCAAAAGCAAAGTAAAAATCAACCCTTCCCAACCAAACCATAAACACCAGTCAACCAGCCTACCAACCAACACCAAAGTCAACCTCAGAGCACATTCTAAATAAGAAATCATGAAAAACCAAGCTTGGCTTTTGGATTTGGTCCAGGGCATGCTGGGGATCACGTGCCTCTAAGACATTTGGAATTCCAAGTCTAAGAGCTTTCAGGAGGTGGAGAAAGGTCCCATCATGTGATACTTCTGGCCACCAGGACACATAATGGAGGATCTTATCCTTTCATAATCCCAGAGACCAAGTGAGAGAAATGGGCCCCAGGATCTGCCTGGAACAGCGGTCTTTCTGTGTTAAGTTCAGTGAAGGATTCATTGGGCTGAGATGGAGATATATCATATTGAACTTTGGCTCACCTTTTCCCCAGAGGCCTATGAGCTGCTGTGCAAGTTGAGGTTCAATTAGAAAAACAGAAGCTAATCTAGGTATTCTTAGGAAAAAAAAAAAAAAAGGTTTAATAAACGGATATAGGGACATAGAAAGTTCGACAAACTTTTTTTTTTTTTTTTTTTTTTTTTTTTTGAGACAGGGTATGGTTGGTCTGGAACTATGTAGACCAGACTGGACATGAATTTCCATTGATCCTTCTGCTTCTGCATCTGGCATGCTTGAATTTAAGGTGTGTGCCGCTGTGCCCAGCCACAGGCTTTGAAGGTGAGGGAAGTGAAAGTCAGCTTGCTCACTCTGAAGAAAAGGAGAGGCTACAGGATGAGGCTGTGGTCAGCGACTGCAGCTCTGTGCACTACAGAGTGAATGACGCTCATAGTACCCTCCAAACACAGGACAGATCCGATGCCTGCCATCCTGGGCCCCAGTTACCTGTCTGGTGTCTACTGTACTGATCCCCACAGTCGCCCGTTTGGTGTCTGCCATTCTGGTCCTCAATCGTCTGCCTGCAGCTGCCCCTGGAGCATTGTGGCCTGTCAGTGGGTTCAGCCTCCAAATCTGTCTGATCACCTCCATCGGTGAAATCTGAATGGAATGCTGTGTGCACGGACGTCTGAAGGTTGCCTTCTCCTTCACCCTCTTATCCTGGGACTGGAAGGGCAGGGATGGCTGGACCGAGAGCCACCAAACAGCAACAGTGACCCCTCCCTTTCTCCCTTTCTTCTGGGAGGAAGATTGTTTTCTGAAGGCCAGCTTCCCACAGTGTCCTTCCTGTGAGAGAAATGATAGTCACTGTGCTTTGAGAAAGAGCTTCCATCCAGGCTGAAACTCAGGAATTGTCTCTGCTCCCAAGTTCAAGGTTTGAGAACAGATGCAATATCATTTGAAACTGATGCCAAGTCCTGACAAAGTCCCTCAGAGACAGAGGTGACTGTGGAGTCACAGCTTATGCTTCCTACATGAAATGCCAGTGCCTAGAACCCAGGCAGGCCATGGACACGGCCAGTTCAGTGCCTAGAACCCAGGCAGGCCATGGGCACGGCCAGTTCAGTGCCTAGAACCCAGGCAGATCAGGGACAAGGCCAGTTCAGTGTCTAGAACCCAGGCAGGCCATGGACAAGGCCAGTTCAGTGCCTAGAACCCAGGCAGGCCATGGACAAGGCCCGTTCAGTGCCTAGAACCCAGGCAGGAGATGGGCAAGGCCCGTTCAGTGCCTAGAACCCAGGCAGGCCATGGGCAAGGCCCGTTCAGTGCCTAGAACCCAGGCAGACCCTGGCCAAGGCACGTTCACAGTGTCTAGAAGCCAGGCAGGCCATGGGCAAGGTACATTCATGGTGTTCAGAAGCTGAGCAGCCCATGGGCAAGGCGAACCCTCCAGGGTCTGCAAGATTGTGATGTGCCTACATCAAGGACGGGAGTGGTGGCTGAGGCTCACCTGGCTCACACCCTGGACGTCACCCCTCACCACTCACCAGCCTCTTGGGAAAGATCTGCAACTCGGCACCATGAAGCCAATGCAGTAAAATAGAATCTGAGAAATCAGAGTAGAAAAATGATGGTGGACGTCAGTGTGGGTATTTGGAGGCTTTCCCCTAAACGCTGGAACACCATTGCCAATTTAAAATTGGGGAAAACCACTTTCCCTGCATGGATGGTGGAATTCTATGACGTCGTGTGTCGTGCGTCCGTCTTCCCCAGCCCCCAGTTATCACCATCTCCTGACAGCTTGGTCTTACTCCAGCCTCTCGTAGAGCTATCAACACACGTAAACAAGGTCACACAGGATTGGGCTTTGTAGGCCAAGGCTGTAGAAGGACACTGAAGGAGCTGTGTGTGTATGTTAGCACACAGAAAGGGGTCTGTGCTAGGTAATAAGAGGTTAACAAGCACACTTACAGCAGAGTGGAGCTGACTTTAGTGGCTTCTTAATAATGTGAGCATGCTCAGGGTCAAGTATTGTCCTGGGCCTGGGCCTTAGTTCCTGATTCTTCACAGTACTTCTTCAAGGAAGACGCTCCATCCTCAGCTCGCAGGAGCCGGGACTCAGGTGCAGAGGGGTTAGGGAATGTATGCAAGTATCCACATATAGAGGCAGACCTGATTCAGCAAGAGATGTCTGGTTGCTATGCATGGTGGTACGCTTGAGTATTTTATTGGAGAGGAAACTGGAGAATATTCCCATCTTCAATTTCTTTACATTCATAACGATGACAACAATGATGATAATGTGTCTTATTAGCGTGTCTGAAGTAAACGACCAGAACAGACAGAAGAGAAGAAAGGAAACAGAAGAAGAAACAAATGTGGGGCCGACAACTGAGCACAAGGGTGCACTGTGGGGTCCTGAAACAGAAAATAAGAAGATACTAGGACAAGCTAAGGAACCCAAATACAGTCAATAATATGCCAGTTTAGGGTTATTAATTCTGGAAAATGTGCCATTTGATGTTGATAATGGGGAGAATCTTGTGTGAGGAAATAGGAGCTGTAAGTCCCAAATTGCTCTAAAACAGCTTATTAATAAAAAGAAAAAAATGAAGCTGGGCCTGGTGGTGCATCCTTGTAATCAGGGATTCGTGGTCACCTTTGGCAACATATTGAATTCAAGGACACATAAGACTTTGTCTCAAACAAAACAAAACCAAACACCAAAAACCAAAACAGAACATCAGCAGAAGACTGAAGAAGAAATAATCCATGTATCTAAGTTACTTCAGCTCATACTCAAGATGGAAAGCTTGCAACTTTTATTTTTCCTATAAAGCCATCCAGGAAAGAATAATACACACACACACACACACACACACACACACACACACACACACGTACACATCAACAACAAATTCAAGTCAGTTATATATATTGAATAAAATCCTAGTTAAGGTGGCAAAGCCAATCAGGTTTTTTTTTTTTTTTTTCATAATAACAGGAAGTGGCCATTCCAAGATGCAAGCGTAGTCTGATGTTAACAACAGTCATAAACTAGCATGGACTTTCCAGTTCTCATCCTGGCCCCTGCAAGAATTCTGCTGCAGAGCTTGTGAGGTTCAGAGCCCATGGAGACTTCCTGAACTCGCTGTGAGGAGAACATCTGGGATGGGATCCCGGAAACTGACTCCAAGACCAAAAAAGACATTTGATAAAACTCACGCAAGACCATAAAAATATAAAAAAATAAACAGGGGCTGGACATGGCTCAGCAGTTAGGAGCACTGGCTGCTCTTGTAGAGGACCTGGGTTTGATTCCCAGCACCCACATGGTGGTTAACAACCGTCCATAACTCTAGTTCCTGGGGAATCCAATGCCTTTGTCTGACCTCCTAGGGCGTTGCACAACATAGGTGCACCTACCTACATGCAGGCAATGCACTCATACACATAAAAGTAATAAAGACAATATTTTACAAAAAAAATTAGAAGCGGGGGACTGGAGAGATGGCTCAGCAGTTAAGAACACAGTTCTTGCAGAAGACTCAGGTTCGAATCCCAGCACCCACATGGCAGCTGACAAAACTGTAACTCCAGTTCCAGGGGATCAGAGAGCCTCTTCTGTCCTCTGAGGGCATTGCACAACATAGGTGCACCTATCCACATGCAGGCAGTGCATTCATACACATAAAATAAAAGTAAACTATTTTACAAAAAATTAGAAGCAGGATAGTTTAGTGTAATTTAAGTACATGTCATACTAACAAGCAGCTACATAAAGAAGTCTCCCCAGTGAGTCTTGATCTAAGAGGAATGCTTGCCCTCACCGTGCTGCGCCAAAATGAAAGGATGAAATCAATGCTGCAAACAGCAAAAGAGTGATTTAGGATTTATATATAAACTGCGTACATATCTATTTATCCATCTATTTATCTGTCATCTGTCTCTCATCTATTTCTCTTTATGTATCTATTAATTATCTGTCCATCCATCCATCATCTGTCCATTCATTCATCAGGTCAAAACCCAAGGGGGGGGAATAACTTATGAAGACGGCAGCCCCTGGGTATGGTCCATGCCTGCAATCCAAACACCTGTCAGGAATGAAATAGCAGGAGCCTGAGGTTGAGGCCAGCCTGGGCCTGTGACCCTGTCTACAGACACAGACACAGACACACAGACACACACACACACACACACACACACACACACGCAGAGTGAGCATTGAAAGAAGTCAGTTACAGAAACAATACAATTACTTGAAAAACCTTTCATGAGGTTTAACCAATAGCTCTAAGTTTCATATTAAGGCAGAGAAAAGACTTGAGCACATGGGTGAGGCTAGGAAACAACACAGCCTTCCTCCTTAATTGAACCTGGCATGTCAGGATGACGAAAATTCCACTGTAAATTTCTGTGGCTAGAGAGGAGGCCTTCCAAAGTTAACGGTCCCAGGCTTAGACCAAGGTGGGGACCATCAGTTCCTGAATCGAACAAGTGCATCACCGCACACACACCAGGGGGCAGTGATGGCCCTGGCAGCCTCAGCTGCTCCCTGACTGAAGCTGGAAGTTCGGAACCGCAGAGCACACTGAGCACACATTGCCTCTGGATTTCTCTGCGTCCCAGCCGAGGTCCAACTAACACAATTGGATTCAGTCACCTGAGGAATGCCAGCAAAGTTTGTTCAAGCCTAGATAACAGTGTTAAGAGGAAGTTGATGCACATCTACAACCTAGCCCTAGCCTGCTTCTCCTTTGAGGCTCCGAACATTCCGTTTAAACATCCCCTTCACTCTTGTAAATGACACTGATCTCAAATTTCTGCTGCCCAGGGAACCTGGGAATCTCTCTCTCTCTCCCTCTCTCAGTCAACTCAGCTCTGCTTCCCGGGGAACCAGCTCTCCTTCCTTGGAGGATAGCCTCCCACAAAGCAGCATCTGCCCTTCCCATACCTAGGCCAGACACCAGCCTAGGCGGACACCAGTCATCTCCCTCCCTAAGACTTAGGAAGAATGCAGGCTGACTGTGTGACTTTTGCCCTGTCTCCCCCACAGGCCTCTGCTCACTCCGGCATGGACTGGCTCTCATCTTGCAGCTGTGTAACTTTTCGATTTATACCCAACAAATGAACTTGAGCATCGCCATCACGGCCATGGTGAACACCACAGAAGCACCCAGCCAGCCTAACGCTTCCACAGAAAGATCCCCCACAGACTCCCAGGACTACTGGAATGAGACCCTGCGGGAATCAAAGGCAGTGGTGTGTATAACGGAGCCCTGGACTGCGTCTTCATTTCAAGGGCTCTCATAAAAGGATGTAATTCAATTACCCAGTGAATATTAATTGAACATGTACTGTGTCTGAGGACTAGCAAGTGAACTAATCTAAAGAGACTTCATTTCTACTTAGAGTCTGCGAGTGAAACCAGGGCTAAGCTAGAATGAAGCATCTTTTACCATTTAGTACAAATAAATTCTTCCCCTAAAATGATGAAACACCTCAAAACCAGGCCCACAGGTGCCGTCTGCTTCCTTTACGAGCTCTCTTCATAGACTCTCATGTAGCTGTCTATATCTCCACATGAGAATATGAATGTGATATGATATATTTTGTTTTGTTTTTTTGAGACAGGATCTTTCTGTGTAGCCCAGTTTAGTCTCAAACTCATGATCCTCGTGCCTCAGCCCCTCTCCCCTACAATGCTGGGATTCTAGGTGTATACCACCAATACTCAATTAATCAAGCCAGGGTACTAGGAAAGAAAGTGGTGTGCATAGTCTTAGGTTGTTTTCTCTTATGAAGTTGGTAGATTGGAGGAATTGGAGTGAGACAAAAAGAATGACCAATGGTGGGCAACAGCTGGAACCCCAGTACTTTGGAGGTGGAGGCAGGAGGATTAGGAGGTCAAGGCCAACCTGGGCTACATGAGAGCCTGACCCCAAAACAAAACAAAAACAGAACAGAACACATCGCTGTCTAGTTATGCATCGAGGCTCTCCTTGTTGCCTAGGCCCCCGTGTACAACTGGACCCCTGAGATCCAGGGAATCCTCCTCAGCTCCCTCAACTATGGCTCATTCTTGGCTCCGATTCCCACCGGCTATGTGGCTGGAGTATTTGGAGCCAAGTACGTGGTTGGTGCCGGGCTGCTGGTGTCCTCAGTGCTGACTCTCTTCATCCCACTGGCGGCAGATGCTGGAGTGGCATTACTCATCGTGCTTCGGGTCATCCAAGGAATAGCTCAGGTACCGACAGGTTGACCCAGTGTGAGTGGATTACAGGTTCTAGAATGGTCTCATGTTTCTAAGAATGGAAATTCCCCCCTAGGTTATGGTATTAACAGGTCAGTATTCAATTTGGGTCAAATGGGCTCCCCCACTGGAAAGGAGTCAGCTCACCACCATAGCTGGATCAGGTAACTGGTACCTTTTTTAATATTTTTATTTATTATTTTTATTTTATGTGTGCGAGTGTATTGCCTGCATGTATGTGAGTGCACCTGTGTTGTGCAATGCCTGTGGAGGTCAGAAGAGGGCATCAAATCTCCTGAGACTGGAGTTATGGATGGTTGTTAGTCTACATGTAGGTGCTGGGACCTGAACCTGGGTCCTCTTTGAGAGCAGCCAGTGCTCTTAACCACTGAGCCATCTCTCCAGTCCTGTAACTGGTATCTCGATCTCATTGTATATGCACCGTCCATGAGTACTGAGCAATGGAGTACCTTACATCCCAGCTACTTGCTCTTGGGAACTAGACTACCTTTCCTGATCAGACTTCAATGTTATTGTGCACCAAACATTATTGTAATTTGTATATATTCCTTTCTTTTTACCCTCATGACCACCTTATAATCAACTAAGGAAAAAGTCCATGGTGTAAAGAATTTAAGATGGGAACAAGCTGACGATTTTCTAAGATCACGCAGCCACTGCATGAGGGGAGTTGTATTCCAGTACCCACACCCTCAGTCACTGTGGCTCTGGAGGAAGGACACTAAATCCCAAGACTGGCCCTCTCACCAGGACGTGCTTGCATCTTTCACTCAGGGTCGATGCTCGGGACCTTCCTTGTTCTCATCGCAGGTGGCCTCCTCTGCCAGAACCTAGGCTGGCCCTACATTTTCTACCTCTGTGGTGAGTTTGTACTTTTGAAAATCTCAGAATGTTGTTTTGTGACAAAGAATGCTGGGCATTTGGACAATCTACTGTATCCATGGTTATTCAAATCCTAATTGATATGAACCTCTATGTAAAGTGATAAGGTTCAAAATCAGTTAAGTTGGAGATCTTATTGGTTTACAAAACAGCATTTAAATGTTAGTACTCTGAATGTGTAGTTAGAGCAACCACAGGACTTTAAGAACATCAAAATATTCCTTTCTGGGCTGGGGAGATGGCTCGGTTTGTGAAATGTTTGCCACCCAATCATGAGGACCTAAGTCTGATGCCCAGAACCCAAATAAAAACGCTGGGTGTGGTAGTGCACATTTGCAATCCCAGTGCTGAGGATGCAGAGACAGGCAGATCCCTGGGACTTCTGACCAGCCGGTCTACCATAACTGTCCAGCCTTAGCCAGTGAGAGACCTTGTCTCAAAAAAGCAAGGTGGACGCATCTGAAGAACACCACCCGAGGTTGACTTCTGAGCCCTCCCTATATGCACACGTGTGCCTAAGCATCACACACACACACACACACACACACACACACACACACACACTTTTTTTGCCAAATTTCTTCTAAATTGAACCTAGAAGATCTCAGAACATATTCTTTTATGAGATGTTGAAAATGTCATCTTGGAAGGATCATGCATACATTTTTTCTTTTTTGAGACAAGGTCTCACGCTGTAGCCCAGGCTGGTCTGTAATTCGCTGTGTAGCCCAGGCTGAACTCAACCTCATGGCAATCTTCCTGTCTCAGCCTCTTGAGTGTTGGAATTACAGATGTGAGCTACTTTGCCTATCTAAAATGGCATTTTGGTTTTGTTTTTATGCAGTCTTGGGGAATTGAACTTATGGTTTTGTGTGTGCTAGGCAAATACTCTATCATTGGGCTACACTGTTAGCCTGATATGTTATTTTAATAACCATATAACATACATATATATATATATATGTACTTGGGATGGAACCTACGGAGGGCCTCACACATTGTAGCAAGCACTCTACCACTGAGCTAAACTCACTCTCAGCCTGTGGGAAAACCATATTGTATGTCATAGTTATTTATTTAATAGTATTAGAATCTTTCCCTAACATTACAACTAACAACTAGAAATATGTGTGAATGTGACTGACGCACTGGAGAAGACAGCCATCTTGTCATGGAGGGCAGACCAGGAGAGGCTTAGTAGAGGACAAATGCACAGGAGGCTCTGTGGGAAGCTTCCAGGCACCAGGGTTCCATTCTACTGCCTCATTCTGCTCCGGGTGGGTCTGCCCTGCTGCGTCGGTTAGTGCTGCGTGTCTGTCTGTTTTTTGAGACACTCTGAAATCCCACTAGAGGGTTGCTTGATTCTTGAGGGTAAATCCCATTAAAGTGGTTCTCTTAGATCAAGGGCTCCTGTAACATCAGAAAATAGACTCACCAAAAAAACTAAAGACTGATTACCATGGCATGTCAGCCCTAACGTTGGTCATGACCATTTCAAAGGGCAGGTTAGAAACAGGGTCCAACACTGAGGATGACTGGGCTCAGGGTTTTGAGGGCGTGAAACATGCAACAGAACTATTTGTTGAATCAGTATTGACACCTTCCAACACTAATACGCACATTCCTAGTGTTTTATCTGTTTCTGCCTAATTAAATTCTTTGATAGCAAAATTGTGACTTTGTATTCTGTTGTCTCAAAATGTAGTAAAACACCTGGTGTCTGAGGCCTGCTGTTGTCCTGTGTGAATGACAAGCTAAGCCAGTGAGGAGGATGCTGAAGTTTTCATTAGGATTCTAAAAGGGCATTTTAACGTAAGCCAGTCAGCACTGCTGGGGCTGAGCTCTGAGACACTGCAATAGTGGACAGAGTTGTGACATTTTCTTTGCTGATGATTAGTGGCTAGATTCATGTAGATTCTGGGTCATTGCACATAATTCAGTAAAAGGCACTGTGTCTAACTGAAGTACTTTGAGAAAGGCAAGAGAAACCATGGAGAGGCTTATTGAGAAGAGAACTTTTCAGTACAACGAGCCAGAAGCCTGCTAACTGATGCGGAGCAGTGAGGAGCGAGCCCAGTGTGAGCTGGTAAGGGAGTGCAGGTCCTCAACATAAATTGCTTTTCAAGACCTCTGCAAACCTCCTGAGAGTCAGTGAAGAGAGGCAGTGGGTCTTAATACCAGTGCTGGGAACTGCCCCAAGGCCACAGGGAAAATGAGTCCCAGGGACAAGACCAGAGGCAAGTGGAGAGGAAGGGGCTCCCCTTATGCAGAGGGAGAGCTGGTTCTGGCTATTCTGACAGCCGCAGGAATCATCTCCCAGCTTTGAAAGAAAACTCAGATCCGGTGCGAATTGGGTCTTGCCTCCTAGGGGGAATTGGCTGTGTCTGCTGCCTCATCTGGTTCCCTCTGGTCTATGACGACCCTCAAAATCACCCCTTTATCAGCACTGGCGAGAAGAGATACATTGTCTGTTCACTGGCTCACGAGGTACATGGAGAGACCCCCCCTCCCCCTCCGCAGCCGCTGTCTGCTCAGAGGTGGCATGTAGCAGGGAGATCTGTCCTGTGATGGAGTGGACAGTCACACGTGTTTTCTTCCAGGACTGCGCGCCAGGCTGGTCTCTTCCCATCGGTGCTATGATCAAATCCCTACCACTTTGGGCCCTTGTGGTCTCTTACTTCTGTGAATACTGGCTGTTTTCCACAATCATGGCATACACACCCACATACATCAGCTCTGTTCTTCAAGCCAACCTCCGAGATGTGAGTACACATCCTGCTGCTTGCTTCCCGGTTGACTCCCTCACGGCAACAGAATGCTGTGGTTCGGCCAGGACCCCACACAGGAAATGCAGCCTGGTTAAACTGGATCCATATTGAGTCCAACGTGGCTCTCTGCTCACTGGAGCATGAAAATGGTTCCAGGCCAGGTCATGGTGTCCTACTTAAGGAGTCAGTATTTGTAGCCAAGATAGCCTACTGTCAGCATGAATAAAAGGAGGATTAGTGTGGGGTCTTGTCCTTCCCTTGTGGGTCGTTGGCCACCGTTCCACGAGGACAAAGGGAGCAGAAGCGATGAATGGGGTCAGGACGGCCAGTGAGCACTGAGGGAAGAAAGCCCTTCCGGGGAGGCAGGTTCAGTGATACAAACAGCTCCAGATTCAGTGAACCAGCTCTTTTTATTCAGTGGGATGTTAGGGAAAATATAGTGTGGAGGCAGTAGCCAATGCTTCAGCTGATAGGTGCTCATAGTATGTTTATTTACATGTGGCAGGGGGATCCTATCATCTGACTACCGGGCAATGCCTAATTATGATATAGGAAAAACCTGGGGATAGTTTTTACTCCAGGTAACTATGCCAAAGCTCATGTTAAGGGAGGCCAAGCATCCTTGCTTGGCTGCACTTTCCAGGTAAGTCAGGCAGGAAGCTCCTGCTGAGAAAGGAGCCAACCTTAACAGCAGGGTTCCTCAACAGATTAGCAAACCGAATTCTGCTTTGGGAAAAACCCTTCGATAAAGAAGCACAAACCACGTAGGCTGCAGATCAGACAGTGTTAGAGCTCATTAAAATTCTTATTTATTTATTTTTATTGTATATGCATGTGTGTTTTGCCTGCATGTATATAAGTGTACCCATGTCTGTGTAATGCTCGTGGAGGTCAGGAGAGGGCATCACATTCCCTGGACATGGAGTTAGGATGGTTGTTAGCTGCTGTGTGGGTGCTAGGAACCGAACGAACTTGGGTCCTTCAAAGCCAGTGTTCTTAACAGGTGAGCCATCTCTCTAGCCATGATATTTTATTTTTATTTTGCTTATTATTTGTTTCCTTCTCTTTTGAGATAGGATTTCACAAAGTAGAGTAGGCCAGCTTAGACTTGACTATGTAGTGGAGGCTGACGTCAAACTTGTGGCCTCCCCCACACCACCACTGGGATTAAAGGTAGCACTGCCAAGCCCAGCTCAGGATTTTTTAAATTACAATTTCTAGGGGAGCTGTATATAGAAAGAGAGCATTATCTTTAAATTTTTAAAAAATTATTTTTATTTTGTGTATGAATGTATTGCCTGCATGTATGTAAGTGTACCCATGTCATACAATGCCAGAGGTCAGAAGAGGGTGTCGGATCCCCTGGAACTAGAGTTATAGATGGTTGTTAGGCACCATGTGGGTGCTGAGAATTGAACCTGGGTCTCTGCAAGAGCAGCCAGTGCCCTTAACCACTGAACCATCTCTCCAGTCCCCGGCATTAGTTTTTTTTTTTTTAATTAACAAAGATGGAACTATGCACATATTTTTCCCTCCAGGACTAAAGTTAAATTAAAATTCCAGTAACATGGAATTTACACTGACAGTGATGCATGTGTAAGGTAAAACCAACAGATGTGGGCATCCATCGTGAGCAGTCAGGGCCGTGTGGGGTTCAGAGGATACATATACTCACCTGTCTCCCGTCCTCAGAGCGGGATCCTGTCGGCTCTGCCGTTTGTGGTTGGCTGTATCTGTATTATCCTTGGGGGTCTATTGGCAGATTTTCTCCTCTCCAGAAAAATCCTCCGACTCGTCACCATCAGGAAGCTCTTCACTGCCGTGGGTAAGGGCCCAGCTGGCTACGGGGTGACCACGGGAGGCGACCATGGGAGGTGCGGGGAGCCTCCTCTTCATCCTTTTGTTCTTCTCCCTCAGGAGTTCTTGTCTCTTCGGGGATCCTCGTGCCCCTGCCCTGGGTCAGGTCCAGCCGCGGCACCACCATGGCCTTCTTGGTACTGTCCTCGACCTTCAGCAGCCTCTGCGAATCAGGAGCCCTCATTAACTTCATGGACATTGCTCCTCGGTAGGGACACCTTTGCCTCATCCTTGCAGAAGCTCAGTTCAGGTCCGTCAACCCTAACCCTGCTCTGATACCAGGGGAAAATGTGGTGGTACATCAGGCCACAGTAGATAATAACATCAGTACAATGTCCCAGTTGTTCTGGATGTGCCCTGGGCTCGTGGGCTGCTGTGAACCAAGCACTTCCAGGTGCAAACAGGGGCAGTCTGTGGCCACCCCAGCACCCCAGTGGTGGAGACTCATGTCCCTTTCTACTGAAGAACACAGCAGGTTCACTGGGCTGAGCCCTGAAATGACTTATGAGATCCCCAGGGGAGGCTTGTGAGGCTTTACTAAAGGGAAAGGGGGTACTGGGGGTGGCTTAGTAAAGACATTACTGTGCAAGTGTGTGGGCCTGACTTCCATCCCCAGAACCCACACTAAAACAATAAAAGCAGGTGTGGAGGCATGAACCTGTGATCCAGGCAGATCCTGAGGCTGCTGGCTAGCCATCCTCACCCACTTGGCGATTTCCAGGCCAGTATGAGACTGTGCCTTGAACAAAGGTGGGTGGCACCTGTGGAATGACACCCAAGGTTGTCCTCTGGCCTCCACAAGCACGCACACCCACATGTGAATGCATACACACAGGTGCATACATACACATGTGCATCCACACACATATTCAGGCACACCCACATGTGAATGCACACCTGGACAACCTGTGAACCTTCACACGTGTACACACACACAAAAATAAAGGCATATAATCACAGAAAAGAACCCTTCCCACTGGTGTCAGTCATTCCAGACAGAACTGAGACTCGGATGTGACTCCCAGGGTCCTATCACAGGCAACAGAACATGCTTCTTCATATGATGACCCACTAAGGCATGTGTAAGACAGGCTGGTCTCAGAGAGATGGCATCTCCCTAGATAAGGGGTCTTTCATGGAGAAGGAGGAGACTTCTACATCATTAACTAGGGCTACAAGATCAGGCAGAAGTTGGCATGTTAGAGCATACCATGCTTGGGAAGACTGAGCCTCTGGCATGGGCTGGTGAAGGATATTTTGTTCAGGTGTAACATATACAATTCCAGGCATCCCCAGAGGTAAACATGGAGATGCACTGTCTAGCTAAGCTGAGCCCTTTGCTCACACGCACTGCCCCTCCTCTTCCTCAGGTACTCCGGCTTTCTCAAAGGCCTACTACAGGTCTTTTCCCACATAGCTGCAGGCGTGGCTCCTACTGTGGCTGGATTTTTCATCAGTCAGGTAAGATAAAATGTTCTAAGAGACAGGAAGAGACATCTACATAGGAAGTCAGCCTTAGGCATCTTAATTCCTCAACGAGGCAGAACTCAGGGGTCTTGAGCACCCAACACACTTCCATTCCCAGCTTAACCGATGCAGGAAAATTACCTTATTTCTATGGCTGTGTGTGTGGGAGAATGCTCAATGTTGCAAATTTATGTTTTGTGATTACAAAAATGAACTTCTGTTAAAGCCCAAAGTTTCTAGTACATTCACGACATTTACCCTTCAGTGTGACGTGGTCAACCAATTGTGGATTGCCTCAGACTGAAAAGGAGGCATTTTGAAGTAGTCAAAATAAGCAGGATGCAGTGGTGAGGCCTTGTAATCCCAGCACTTGTGACGCTGTAAGACCCCTGTCTCAAATGATAAATAAACCCCCCAAAGAAAAAAATATAGTAGAAATAAACTAATAGTTAAACCTGATGTCTTCAGCATTGGCCATGAATTATGTAGGCGTCACAGAGAAAGAGATACAGGCATTCCTGTGAATATCTTTCTAACTTCCCATCGTTTTCTTTAAAAATTTTTTTTTGATTTATTTTTATTTAACGTGTGAGTGCATTGCCTGAAGGTAGGTAGGTGCACTTGTGCCGTGCAATGCCCACAAAGGTCAGAAGAGGGTGTCGGATTCCCTGGAACTGGAGTTATGAATGGTTGTTATCATGCTGTTGGGCTGAGCCCAATGAGGGCCTGAGGGGAGGAGCCTTTCATTCAGGGAACAGCCAGCGTGCTGGCCTTGTGCTGGACACATGCCTGTCTGCCATTCCAGGAGCAAGGTGGAAGCCCCGGAGGTCGGGCTGCGCTGGCGGGTGAGGGGAGATAGCAGCAGGACATAAAGCCACAGCCTTGCTCAAGCAGGAGGAGTAAGAACCATGTGACCAGGGCTAACTGGACGTTTCTGTCCCAGGATTCAGAGATGGGCTGGAGAAACGTCTTCTTGCTTGCCGCTGGTATTGACATAGGGGGCCTAGTCTTCTACCTCATCTTCGGCCGAGCAGAAGTCCAGGACTGGGCTAAGGAACAGATGTTGACCCATCTCTGAGCAAAGGGAGCCATGTGCGCGAGCCTGACTCAGTCGTCCGTCACTTGCCTTCAGAGCTCCTCCGCTCGGCTGCTTAGCCGTTTAGGAACTGGCTCTGTTTCCAGGGTTATCTCAGAGACCCTGGCTATGGGATGCTGAGGACTTCACAAGGGAAGGAGAAGACTGGTATTTAACTGTGAGCTTCTGAAAGCACAAACGTGTCTGAATTTGTACGAATCTGCTACACTTTCCCCTGTCACCACAGTGAGGGCACGCATCAGGACAACTTGTCACCAAAGCAAGAGCGCAAGCCGGAACTTACAGAGTGATGACCAAGCACCACAGGAGAGTGGTACCCAGACATGCAGAGGGTGAATACACAAGCTGTCAGCCAAAGACTGACCAGCCAGAAAGCTGTGTCTTCCAGCCAAAGTCCCAAGTGAACAGAGCTGCTCTCAGGTCAAGAGATGGTGGTTTCAGAGCCATCGTGAGTCCTGGTGTATGCAGGATGTCAAACGCAACGTGGAAGGAAAGAATAATGGAAGGGCTCCATCACCAGAACAGGAAGGAATTTCCTCCAGTTAATGTGAGACAGATAGCGGAATTCAATTCTAGATGCTTCCTGTCTGGATTCTGGCTTTGCATCAGAACCACCTTTCTATGTACACCACTCACTGGAGTCAGTTCTTCCACAGACACTGTCTCTCTGGTCAGTCTGGCCTGGGCCCCACATCAGGTGTGTGGATCCCTGCAGATCCCTGTGTCTTAGTGAACAGACGTTGTCTGGCCTGCCTCTGATCCTCTCCAGCACTTGGTGACATCGCTTTCATCGTGGATGTTCCTCATCTGCTTCTCTGGCTGTTGGGATCTTACCCACCATTCAATGGGTCTCATTCAGTGTTCATCTCATCAACCTCAAATGTCTGCCAAAAATGTAAGACCTGTGCTCATTCCAAATGTCTAGAGTGTGCGTGGTGTCTGTTTTCTTTAAGCCCCATATGGACAGCACAAGGACCATGAAGGAACAGTATTCAACAGTATTTGAACAATATTCAAATACTGAGTGAATATTGATGAGTATGATTCTGTTCCTGGAGGCAGAAATCAAAAGCAGCTCAAAGGAGCTCACTTACTGTGGCAGGAGGGCAGGTGGCTTCAGTCAAAGCATCACAAATGTGTGTGTAGCGACAACTGCAGACCATGGAGCAGGAAGGGAATACCTCACCAGAACAGCGCACAAGTGTGCACACACTACTCTAGGGGGAGGGGAGGCCACTCCACAGTGTCAATTGAGCTGGTAGCTGAGGCTTAATAATTAGCTAGTGTAAGACTGGTGGAGAGAATGTTCTAGAAGACCTGCAACGTAAGCAAAGGTTTGTTGACAGGAAAGAACAAGGACTGAATAAGAGAGTGTGGACTGAGAAGATGGAGAAGGATCATGTTTAAGCCGGTACTGAGCGCTGTGGACCCAGTGAAGGGCACCGGTCCAGGATGCACAGGGCACTGTGGACCCAGTGAAAGGCACCAGTCTGGGATGCACAGGGCACTGTGGACCCAGTGAAGGGTACTGGTCAAGGATGCATGGGGTGATGTGAACCTGGTGAATGGCACCTGTCCGGGATGCATGGGACACTGTGGACTCGGTGAAGGGCACTGGTCTTTATGCTGAAGTCGATGGAAGTATTTTAATGGAAAGGGACACAACCAGGGTTCCATTTTTCAGTGGTCACAGTGCACGAGGGACTTGATTAGGAGTTCCCAGCGTATTTTCAGGAGAGTGTTGGTCCCTGGCATGAGGCAGCTGGCCTGGTGGGAGGTAAGCTGTTGTTTGCTGTAAGGTAAGCCTGGCAACGCTGGAATGCCCCATGAGAGAATGGGCGAGGTACACAGCATGACTTGTATTTGGGGATGTCTCTGATAAAGATAGCAACGTACACATACCTCCACCCCCGAAGGAAAAGAAACACAGGTCGGGGTGGCACTTGTGATATTTGAGCTTCAGTTATAAATTTGGGAATCATTTAAGCAGAGGCCATGATTGAAATTCTCAGGAGGGATGAGATTGCTATAAAGAGAGAAAGCCTAGTGCAAATCTTTCAAGAACTTTGGTGTTTTACGGTCAGCTGGAGGATGATTACAGATGGAAGGACGATGAGAGGGAGGGAGGCAACGTACACATACCTCCACCCCCGAAGGAAAAGAAACACAGGTCGGGGTGGATGATTACAGATTGAAGGACGATGAGAGGGAGGGAGGGAGACCAAGAGAAGACGGACTGAGATGCAGAGGTGAAAGGTGAGTGGGCTTCACAGCCCAAGGAAGGCAGGTCACTGTGGCATCGAGACTGCAGAGATCGACCCAGCAGAGGAGGGAAGGAAGAACAGAGTTCACTGATAAGAAGTCGGAGGCCAGGGGTGGGGAGAGCCAAGAGAGCGGTATAGAGTCAAGTCTGGAGCTAGCTTGTTGAGAACCTCTGAGACAGAGCTAGTTAAGATAAAAGTTGTGTATGCAAAAGAGTAAAGCATGGGTGGAAAGTTCCTGGGTGTGGGGGCAGAAGAGAGAATCTGGGGACCCAGAGCCCAGCCAGAAAAAAGACAGGACATAAGCGGATGTGGCCCCACCTTGTCATCCATAGCCAAGGGCACGCCCGCGTCCACTAGTGAGAATCCAGGGAGGGTTCATTCTTCCTGTCTTTCCTTCTCCTTGGAAGACTTGTGAGAGTGTGCATGGTTTGCAGGCAAGACAAGGGCAGTGTTCTTATTACACAAGAGGAGAGTGTAATGCAATGCCCTGCAGGTGGTCAGGCAGGGTCTGTCCCCCGCAGAGTACCCGGGGCACCCCACAGTCTTCCTCTCCTGCTCTGTTCATGGCCATTTCAACTACCCAACCTGCACCTTAATCTAGACAGCTCAGGAACCTCGACATGCATTGCTTGACACATCTTTTAATTTTTATTGTATGTGTATGAGTGTATTGCCTGCATGTGTGTAAGTGCACCTGTGTCGTGCAATGCTTGAGAAGGTTGGAAGAGGGCGTTGGATCCCCTGGAACTGGAGTTACGAATGGTTGTTAGCCACCATTCGTGTGCTGGGAGTCAAACCTGGGTCCTCTGCAAGAGCAGACAGTGCTCTTAATTGCTGAGCCATCTCTGAAGCCCCTGTTTGGAACATCTTAGATAAAATGGTGGCACTGTATTCACAATATTTACAGTAAGTGCCAATGGAGGCTTGATGAATCACTGTATGAATTGTTGAATGGAACAGCCGTGGGTGGGGGCAGTGGGGGAGCCCTGTAGGAAGAGAGGAAAGTCTTAGTTCCCTTTCTGTTGCTGGTATAAACACCATAACCAAAGCAACTTAGGGGAGGGGAGGATTTACTTGACTTACACTTCCACGGAGGGAAGTCAGGGCAGGAATTCAAGGAGGAACTTGAAGCAGAAACCATGGAAAAGCGCTACTTGCCTGTTCCTCACAGACTCATGTTGAGCTAGCTTTCTTATACAGCCCAAGACCACAGTAGGCTAGGCCCTCCCACATCTATCAACAATCTCAACAGCCTGGCGTGGTGGCTCACGCCTTTACTCCCAGCGCTCAGGAGGCAGAGGCCAGCCTGTTCTATATAGGAAGATTCAGGCCAGCTGGGGCTACAGGGAGACCCTGTCTCAACCACTGTCCCCACCCCTCTGTAAAACAAATAAAAAACCCAAAATCAAAAGCCAAAATCAGTCAAAAGAATTTCCAACACACAGGTCCACAGGCCAATCTGACCTGGAAATCCCTCAATTAAGACTCCCTTCTCGAGGACTCTAGGTTGTCTAAGTTAACAGTTAAAGCTAACAGATGGAAAGGACTCAGTTTTGACCCACTTGTCTTTAGATGCTTTGCTTTCAGAGCACAGACTCACCCAAGCCCATGGGCTCTTTTTTTTACCTCATGGGGTACTAAGACACTGGGTGTCTCCGTCCCACTGTGTGGAACCCCGACAGCGGCCCCAGGTCTCATCACTGACAGGGCCACCAGGTAGGACTTAAGAACCCGTGGCTTACTTCTCGGTTACCCAAGGTCTTCGCTGTGTGGCCCCCTTCCTTCCTTGAACTCGTATTTTGTTTTTAATCAGTCACCTAGGTGCTTCTGAAAATAAGTTTGATTTCTCTCTGACCCATCCAAGAAGGAACCGACTTTGCATCTTTTCTTTCGAAATGGGCCATTCTGAACGAATAGAAATCATTTAAGACTTTTCAACCTGCCCACATGGTCCGTGTCTACAAAGAGGAGCAAATGTTGAAAATTGAAACCGAAACGCACACACCAAGGTCTTTCACGAATAGTAAAATTTTCTTACGTGTGTTTATTGGGCTAAGGGACAGATTCAGAAAGGACACAGATAAACCCACCTTTACAGTTCAGATGTGTAACTTGTTGACAATACACATGACAAAAAAAATCAGACTGCGAGGGGGAGGAGGTGAGACTGGTCCCTAGGGGTCCTGTCACTGCAGGTGGCTGCCTGGGGGTCCAGCCTCAGGGTCCAGCCTCAGGGTCCAGCCTCAGGAAGCTTCTTTCCTTCTCTAAGGAGGTTGGTACCAGGCTCCGCACCGCGCACTTTAACACTAAGCTTTGTAGAAAAAGGAAAACGGAAGTACAAATAACTGTCACTGCCGAGTCTTGGTTCCCAGAGAACGCTCGGCTTTCTATGCAGGGGGTGTGGCTCTCTCAAGCCTGGTCCAGCAGTAGGTTATCCACGCCATATTCAACATTCTCCCTTGTTGACATAAAAATATGAAGACCGCCTGGTACACTTCTTCCCCGCTCTCAAAAGTCTACCTGAAAAATACCTGAGTACCTGCAGCACTCTACATGAAGACAGTCACACATCTATCTGTAGGCTTGCATCCTGAAAACAAACCCACTGTGCCAGTCGGAGCTGACCTTTCTGTGGTTTTTTGTGTTTTTTCCAAGTTCAAAGTCTTTGTAAATGAATTTTTAAATAAGAAAATGAAAATAAAACATCCCTTGGTAATCTTGTACCAAACACTCCATTCATGCCCCTGTACCAAAGCACCCCTCCCTCCCTCCCTCCTTCCTTCCTTCCATAGCCCCTCCCTGTAGCCCAGGCTGACCTGGAACTCACATAGAGCCGCCTGCCTCTGTCTCCCAAGCGCTGAGATTAAAGGCCTGTGGCACGATGTCTGGCATGATGCCTGGTTCATCACCTGCCCTTTCTAAGAACCACTCTGCCACCTACAGTGCTGAAAGGTTGCTATCTGGAAGACCAAAAGCAGTCTGGTCTCTGCCTGTTAGCAGACATCCAGATGAGCTCCTCTGACCTCTTACACCATCCCCCATGAACATGAAAAGGGGATGTGGCCAAGATGCTAAGCTGAAGTGTCCACCCAGGGGCCCAACTGGAGAAAAAAATGACAAAAACACACATGACCTTGTTTTCTTTTGTTCTATTGTTTTATGTTGATTTTATTTAGTTTTAACCTAAAAATTTTCATTGTGTCTATTCATTGTGCACAGTCCTATGCTACGCAGAACACTGTAAATGTGCTGTGCACCTAGTGTGTTCCGCATCCTGCTCCCCTTTGCCTCCTCCCTCCGCCCCTTCCCTTCCCTTCACATCCCCAGACTGTTTTACTTTGATTTTCATAACCTATATACATTCCTGATTTTATGTATTCAAATGCCTTTCTTTAAAGATTTTTTTTAGCCTTTTTTATTTGAAGTTTTACATGTCAGTTACACACTACCTAATAACTGCCTATTGGCACTCTGGGTAACTGGAGAGAGCATTCCTTTATAGCAGGTGATCTTCACATTCCATTCAGGGAGGGGGAATGCTGCAGGTATTTAACCAACTGCTGAGAGAAAATTGAACGTTTCTCAACAACACTGTCACTGCCTGTATGCACAGAGTTCATCTAGGAAGGGCACCTCCATTCTTCTTGTGAGATGGTCTGTCTTTGGCAGCCTTTGTCTTAGAGATGTATGATGAATCATCAGCTAATAGGCCGTACTGTTAGACTGTCCCCTTCAGTGTAGGGGGCAAAATACAGCAGATCTAAAATCCCAAAGTAAAGCTATAAGGAGAGAGGAGGTGGAGAAAGGCTTTGCAACCCTTTCCTCCTGAAGGTCGGGAACAATATGAAGATGTGCATCGTTAATGCCTGTCCTGATGATCACACCTGCTGCTTAGAACCTTGGGCGTCACGGCAGAAGAATCACGAGCTGCAGTCAAGCTGGGCTACCAAACAACCAACCGAGGAAAACCACCAAGTAAGAGGCTAGAGGCTCTAACAGAGCCATTAGCCAAGACAAAGAAATGAAGGGCGTCCAGACTGAAAACAGAAGTAAATTCCTTCTGTGCATAGATGACAAGATCATCTATGCAGAAGTCTCACAGAACTCGCTATAAACTATGAGAATGAATGTAGGACATTCTAAGAGAATGGCCGTAGGACAGGAGATCAATGTATAAAAAGTCAGGTTTATTCCCATAGGCTTCCAGTGAGTAATACAAAAATTATTAAACTAAGAAAGCAATTCCACTCAAAATAGCATTAGAAACAGCAGGCATAGCGGCACATGTCTGCCATCTTAGCTCCTAGGAGGCTGGTGTAAAAGGATCTCACGGCCCAAGCCAGGCTGGGCACCCCAGTGAGGCTAAGGCCTTCCAGACACAGTCACACACTGGATCAAGCTGTCAGCACAGGATTCCTTGGAAAATACACTCACACCAATATACGGATATAACAAAAATAGACTTAACATCGACAACAGAAAGGGCTGATGAGCAGTGGAGAATTTCAGCTCTTAAACACCACTGGGGATAGAATATTGTGGAAGTTATAGAAACATTTTGATCTTTCAAGAGTTAACCACAAAATTACCACATGTGCCAGAAGGCTTCAGCTGTCAGTATGACACACCTGGGAAGAGGGAGCTTCAAATGGAGAATTTCCTCTATCAGACTGGCCTGTAGCCATGTCTGTGAGGCACTTTTTGATTGTCGAATGATACGGGTGGACCCAGCCCACTGTGGGTGATACCATACCCCCCGGTAGGTGGTCCTGCGTTGTATAAGAAAGCAGGCTAAGTATGGGCCAGAGGAGCAGGCCAGAAGCAGTGTTCCTCATGGTCTGTGCTCCATTCCCTGCCTCCAGGTCCCTGCCTGCCTTGAGTTCCTACCTTGGCATTTGTTGATGTTGAACTGTGAGCTATGAGCCAAACAAACCCTTCTGTCCCAGGTTGCTTTTGGCCAGTGTTTTACTACAGCAATAGAAAGTTAACTAGGACACCACATGACTCAGCAATCTACTCTGAACTATACCCTAAATCTATGAAGTGTGTCTTCACACACAATCTTGTCCACAAATGTTCCGAGCAGTCTATTTACAACAACCTTAAGGTGGATACAATGCATATGTCCATCAGCGGATATTTATTGATAACCAAAATATAGAATACCCATTAGTCAAAGATTCTCTAGCCACAAAAAAGGAATAGAGTCCTGCCATCTGCTGAAACATGGGTGAACTTTGAAAACATGCCACATGGAAGTGGCCAGGTATAAAAGATATGTCCTATGATTTCATTTCAGTAAGACAAAAATAACATTATGAAGGAAAAACTGCGGGGTCACCACCTGACTCAAATGAAGAGAGTCAACACCATAAAGAATAATGTGGTGCTGAGCAGGTGACTCAAAGCACAAGAGATCTGAGTTCAGATCCAAGTAGCTACGTAAAACGCCAGGGTTGACTGCACCTGTCTGTAACCCCAACGCTGTGGGAGGCAGAGACAGGAACATCGGGCTTGCTGGCACTGGCCTAGCTCCAGGTTCAGTGAGAGACACTGTCTCAAGGGGGTAAGGGAGCGTGTGACAGAGCAGGGCATTGCATGTCCTCCTCTGGCTTCTGTAGCATGTACTGTGTACACACGTGCATACACCACACACACACACACACACACACACACACACACACACACAAGAACAGTGTACATTGGCATTGAAGGACTCCTTGTGTAACAGTTGGCAGACACAGTGATACCTCCAGGTACCCTTGCCTAAGATGTCCCATCTTGTTCTAATGTGAAAACACCAGAGAACCCTACACAGAGAGACGTTCTGCAAACGTCTGGACTCTTCCTTCACCTCACCAAAGCCAAGGAAAGACTGAGTAACAGTTACAGTATTAAGGACGAAGAAAGGAACAGAAGAGCCAACTGCCACATTTGATTTGGAGCTGAGTTTGGAACTATGTTCTTTTTGCCAGAAGAACATTGCTGATATGGCTGGTGGGTGACAATGTGGTCTGAGGGTGAGGTGTCAGGAAAATGTCCTTTGTCTGGTTTATAAAGGGACATTCCAGAGCATTTGGGAAGAGGAGGGGGGGTGAGGGTCTCAGGGGAAGAGGGGGAGTGAGGGCCTCAGGGGAAGAGGGGGCTGGTGAGGGCCTCAGGGGAACAGGGGGCTAGTGAGGGCCTCAGGGGAAGAGGGGGTTGGTGAGGGCCTCAGGGGAAGAGGGGGTTGGTGAGGGCCTCAGGGGAAGAGGGGGTTGGTGAGGGCCTGGGGAACAGGGAGCTGGTGAGGGCCTCAGGGGAAGAGGGGGCTGGTGAGGGCCTCAGGGGAACAGGGGGCTAGTGAGGGCCTCAGGGGAAGAGGGGGTTGGTGAGGGCCTCAGGGGAAGAGGGGGTTGGTGAGGGCCTGGGGAACAGGGAGCTGAAGTTACAGATGGTTGTTAGTCATCATGGGGGTGGTGGGAATCAAACCCGGGTCTTCTGTAAGAACAGTTTGTACTCTTAACTGCTGTGCCATCTGTCCAGCCCTTGGTTATTTCTGAATTCTTAACAAAAATGTCCCCTGCTGGCCTCCAGCCAAGAGAGCTGTCCTGAGCACCATCATGACACTCCACCTGATTTCTCATAGACGCCAGGGCCCCACATTATCCTAACATTTAAAATACAGTTGTTCATCCCCCTCGCTCCCCCACAGAAGCATAAAGCACACTTACTAACAGTGCCTGCAGGTGGTGCTCATGGCCCTATCCCAGCATTCTATAAAGGGGTGAACCAAACCCATGGTCTGATTGAAAAGTAGAAGGCAAGAATTCCTACGTTGAGATTTGAACTTACTACAACCTCCTCTCTCAGCTCCTTTATCTTTATTTTCTTTAACCTCTTGCTGAAGGTCCACTTTCCCTCCATTTTGAGGGTAGGTAGTATGCACAGAAGGGGAACACTAATCACTCTGATACCGATGGAAATCATGGGTATTTTCTTGTGACCTTATAATTGTTGCCAGCGTCCCCAAACACAGTTTTCTTCAACACTATTTTGAAATTAGCACATTGATGTGGAAAGATATTAACATAGATGTGCCTTTTAGAAACTTGGTGAGTATTTTAATATTAGTTTCTTAAGTTCCTCTGCATTATTCTGAGTTCACTGCCAAGGGAGGTTGGTGAAAAGCCAAATTATATGCGACAGCACTGAATGTGTATCCTTGTACATCTACTGTGCCTGGAACCCACTGGAATGAACTCACACCAACAAAAACCAGAGGAGTACCCCAGACTAAGCCCCAAAGTAGCCCTGTGGATGGCTCTTGCTTCTAAACCTAAGCAGCCAGAATGGGGAACTGATAAGTACATGTTCCCAGCTGCTCCTCCCAACCCTCAGGGCAACTCCAGACCAGCTGGATCTGGTTCCATCCCATGCTGACATCCAGAGTCCTCAAAATCTTTGCAAGGTCATTTAAATGAGTTTTTTTTTAACCCCACAAAAAACCAAGAAACAAAAATCCCCACACACCTACTGGTGCCATGACATGTCAGACTGTGAGGAGAGGGCATCCTGACTCCTGGACCTCTCCCTTCTCAGTGAAGAGCTCCAATGAAGGCAGATGTCATGTCCCACACTCACCATAAGGTTTCCAAGCAAAAGGCCACAGTCATTTAAATGAGTTTTTTTTTAACCCCACAAAAAACCAAGAAACAAAAATCCCCACACACCTACTGGTGCCATGACATGTCAGACTGTGAGGAGAGGGCATCCTGACTCCTGGACCTCTCCCTTCTCAGTGAAGAGCTCCAACGAAGGCAGGTGTCATGTCCCACACTCACCATAAGGTTTCCAAGCAAAAGGCCACGCCCCCGACCCGCTGGAGAGAAGGTCTTTGGGGAGCTCGCTGTGCTGTCCTTCTCCTCTCCTTTGCCACCGAATCAAGCTTTCCGCCTATTGCTTGTCAATATACTGAGTAGGAAAAGAACCTGCAGATCTGGAAATCCAAGGGCCCTTTGGAAAATTCCAAGACACTGAGGACCAAATAAAAAGGGAGGCTGGGAATCAACTCACAGCTGCTCACCAAACTCACGAAGTCGGCGTTATCACGAAAAGATGATTGTGCTCCAGGAGCAACCCTGCAGCTCGAGCACCTTCCACCAGGAAAGCAAGGCCCCAGGCAGGGCAGCTGGGACCCCTGGACCCAGAATCCTGTCCCCAAGTCACTCTCTCCAGCCTTTGGGCTGATACAGGACTTCGTCGTGTCTCTCAAATTTCTAATCACTATGGAAAGTCAGAAGACAAGTTCTTTACAGTATCAGTCAGTGAATTTGGGTGGTGGTAGGAAAAGATGCTGCGGACCCCTAACACAGAATGCTGGTGCAGTTGGGGACAACAAAACCCAAACAGGCCAAGGAACAGATCTCTGCAGTGTCACACTAGGGCCCTGACAGTCCCAGCTCCTCTGTCCCTGTCACCTAAGCCTGTTCTCTTAAAGCTTTCAAGGCTGGTGTCCAGCCTGACAGACAGACCTGAGGGGTGAGCAGGTAATCACAGGGCGTGACTGAAACCCGCCCTGGCTAAAGAAAAGATGTTGGAAAAATGGAGTCTGTCCAGTGCGTGGAAGGGAAAAGAAAGCGGAAAGAGGCTAGTGGATACGTGGGAACACGCACAGCGTTTTCAAGGTTTAGAGAGTGCAGGTGCAGCCAGCATTTAAAACGTTCCAAAAACATTCTGAATTATGAGGGTCAGGCAGGAGGAAATGCAAAAATAAGATAAAGATTTTAAAGGGAAAATAAAAATAAAGAAAATGCCATATAGTCATAATGACGCAGCTGGATCAAATGCATCTATATAGATGATATAGATCTCAAAGTGGGCGAAATACCGGGACCTAGTCATGTATTTCCACAGGAAAACAGATTGAAATGTCTCCGAAAGATAAGGTTTAAAGGCTGTCCAAAATATCCCAGAGGATCGAGTGTGTGTGGGTAAACACACACACACACACACACACACACGCACGCACGCACACACACGCACACACAGACGCACGCACACACACAGACGCACGCACACGCACGCACGCACGCACACACACACACACACACACACACACTCAGAGGCTGTTGTATGAATAGGAGAAAGTGAGCTAAAAGTAAAAATTAAAAGTCTTTACAATGGAAAAGGCTGATAAATTTGCAAAATCAAAATAAGTTTACTCAAGATATACTTTCCCAAATCTTTTTGAAATTAAAAAATCAGAATAGTCAAAAGACGCAAAAAATGAATAGAAATAACAATGAAAATACTAGTCTAATTATGAGCATTTAACATGGCATATATAAAAACGAGGTTTACAAAGTCTGCATAAAGTGACGTGAATTCAGCATCCCCCTAGCTGAACCCCGTTCTGCACCTTGGAAATAAGGGACAGACCTTTGCTGACACCCATGAAGGAGCCCGTGTTGCCGCTCATGAGAGCAAACTCAGCCATGTCTATGTTAAAATATTCAGATAAGCGCTCACACATTTAAACTGCTGCTTATTTTCAGTTCTCTTAAAAATTGTTAACCAGCGCTGCATCAATAAACACATTGTATTCCAGATCCAAATTGCTGCCTGTTGTAATCATCCACCACGAGTCTCCAGGCACTTTGGTGGATGTCTGGGAAAGGACTGTGATGGAGAGTCTCAGTGACAACAGTACCGAGTAAATTTCATTGTGGGCCACACTGTCCAGTTTCCCTCAAAGCAGCATCAAACCATTTCTACCAGCCCTTTGCTAAGTGCTTGCTTTAAGACACGCCTTTCCTGTTTCTATAGTTTTCAATCTGTCCACTCAAATCATCTAGGCTCGTTCAGAACGATGACTTTACTGTTGTTCAAGTGCATTCTTTAATTCCCCTCCATTTTCAGTGAAAGTCTTACTGTTTATTGAAAACATGAGATGCCAAGCTGTGTGCTGACCGACACACAAATCACGGTTCCCTGCTGCCACCACATGAGCTGTAGGACACCATCCACGGCCGATTCCTGCCCTGGCACCTGGACATCAGCCTCTCTGCATCACTTCAGTACTTTAATTCTTCTCCGCGTGTCTTTTCTCTTCCCCGGCAAACCTCACACATAGCATCAGCTCCTAAGCGATTGTCTCCACCCTCCAAATCGAACAGCAAACAGCCACGGCAGCAAACGCTCTTTCAGTCCACATTTCTCTGACCTTACAGGAACGCCTGTCTCCGTGTTTCTGCCTCCTCCCGTCATATTTAATTTTGTCCCTTTTTCCCTCCACAAATAAAACAACAGAAAATTGCGCAAAACAAATATTCGGCTCAATAGTAGTAGTAAACACTCTTAAAGTGCGAGGACCCGATTTCAACTCCTTGAACCTATGTAAAAATGCCAGGCACAGGCTTATAATCCCAGCATGGGGGGTCAGAGGGGTGGGGAGACAGGATCACTGCGGCTCCCTGGCCAGCCAGTCTAGCCCATCGGCGAGCAAGCTCCAGACCAATGACGGACATGTCCCTAAGGAGGTGGGCAGTGTGTACGGACAATGCCCGAGGCTGTCTTTGGTTTCCACGCATGCAAACACATGCACACAAACCCAGACACACATTTGCACCTCCCACACATGCGTGAGAAACTAGAAGGCACACAGTGGCACAGTGTGTCTATATCTCTCTTTTGGTAATATCAACGGCTGTTGGTATTCCCACGTGTCCCCTCCTTCAGTGGGGGTTACAAAACAAGGCTACATCACAACCGCCAATTCTTGCTTTTGTATGAGCTGGAATAATCCAGGGTCATGTCCCCTCCTTTTACTCACCACTTACAGCTCATGTATGAAAGGCAAAAGTCCAGATTCTCTTTGAACACACCGTAATGGGCCCCTGCCTCCATCACACATTTGAAAGTAATTTTTGCCAGGGCCGTCTTTACAACAGCTAACCCACTAGCAATTCTTGATCTTATGCAATTTAAGCCCTAGGCAGCACCTCTCATGAATCTGCTTTTCCTTTGCCTCAGCGGGCCACATTTTCCAGCTCTTACTGTTCTTCAGACTGCCCTGCACCACCACCACCCTCCTCCTCTTCCTCCTCCTCCTCCCTCCTCTCCTCCTTCTCTTCTTCCTCCTCCTCCTCTTTCTGCTCCTCCTCTTCCTTTCCCCCCCTCCTTCTCCATTCAGTTTTTGAGATGCCCAGCTTCCCCATTTTATATACCAGCCTGGATATCTCCCCAGAATTTCAGAGCTGTGTACTACCCACGGGGCTGTGTGGCATTTCCAAGTGATGCTGTTTCCTATTTAGCATGGTCCCCCCTTCCCAGATCTGTACCCCTCATTCTCCAGCTCAGTGATTCATCCTCAACCACCACCCCATCTCCAGTTTCAAAAACCATTCTTAATCCAAGAACTTCTCACCTTCAGAGCCGTGTGCTTTGTGCGTTTTTGCTTTCTTTAGCCCAGTCCTGAATTTCTCCTTTAGCAAATATAAGATAGAAAATTACGCATGTGACATTGATGCCTGACATCAGGAAGAAGATTTTATGCCAAGAAAATTCTGGATCCTGAAGGATTAAAATGCAAAGTAAGTGTGAGCGATTTGTCTTGGCTTTGTGTCTTACAACATTTAAAAGATAGTACTAAAATAATACATACACTCATCCGGTCATGCCAGAGTGAAAATGTGCTCATAAATGGCCCAGAAACCATCATTCCACTCCACGTAGACAATTGCTTTTAGATTCCAGCTGTATAAACATTTATCTAAAATTCTATTTTTACCAGATATTAATATATCAGTTTCTTATAGTTCCTGACTAGTTAATACATCTTTTTTCTCACTCTGATACATTTATTTCAAAACTTCCTGTCTCTTTCAAGATACCTTACACAGCCAACAGTGTGTTGCCACCAGCATGTGCATAGACAGGTATGTAAGGAGAAAGTGTTTTTATGTACCGTGATTATTATTTTTTTAGACCCCCCTCTTATTTCCTATTTCCCATGGCAGTATTCAAACACTGTTTAAGAAAAAACATTCCAGGCTTTTCTCTTCAAGGCCTGCATGGTGTTGGGCGTGGCGACACACACCTGCAGTCTCGGGAGGCAGGAAGACCATGGTGAGAGGTCAGCCTGGTCTACTCTACAAGTTCTAGGTCAGCCAGGGCTGCATAGTGAGGCCCTGTCTCAAACAACCACACACACACACACACACACACACACACACACACACACATACACACGCACACACACGCGCACACGCACACGCACGCGCACACACACACGCGCGCACACACACATGCACACACACACATACACACACCCTGCACACACGCACACACACACGCACACACACGCGCACACACACGCGCGCACACACACATGCACACACACACACATACACACACACGCACACGCACACACACCCTGTGTTATTTTTAGCCCTTTTTGAATATATGCCAATTGAATAAAAACATTATTCCTACAAAAATAACTAAGGATTTTGATTGAGATTGCATTGAACCAACCAGCAGGCCATATAATGGAATTAGAAGGCAGTTTATAATTTTAAGTCTTTTAATACAAGCAAATGATTAGATTTAGCTACATTTTCCCAAAAATGATCTCACAGTTTTCTTCATAGATACATAAACCATTAAGTTTATGTTCAGATAGATAATTTTATTGTAGTGTTGCAAATGATATGCTAAAAGTTATTTTCATGTCCCTTATTCAGATACTTAGAAAAACTGATAGGGACCACTGGCTTATACTATTTATAGATTTATACTGCATCTGAAATCTTGCCGAACTCTATTTAATTCCCATATTTTTTCTGTAGTTGTTTTATAACTCTGCCTGCATATTTCCTTCTCTCCTTTTTCTTTTTTAAAATACTCTATTTATTGTTTTTGTTTTAAGTATACAAGTGTATTGCCTGCCCGCATGCAAGTATATGCATAGCATGCAGTGCCTCAAAGGTCAGAAGAGGGCGTTGGATCCCTTGGAACTAGAGTTAAGGACAGTTGTTAACTGCCATGTGGGTACTGGGAATTGAACCCAAGTCCTCTGAAAGAGCAGCCAGTGCTCTTAATGCTGAGCATTTCCCCCTTTTCCATGTACTCACTAGAACACAGAACAAAGTTAAGAGAGGTCACTGCACCTTTCTCTTGCCAGAGGGAAAGTATCTCAACTGCACTGACCTGTATGATATTTGCTGCAGAGACTTCCAAGTTACTCTTTTAAAATTATTTATTATTTATGTGTATGTGCATGGATGTGCACCAGGTGCTTGCAGGAGCCCAAGAAGGCCAGAAGGCAGCGTCAGATCCTTGGAGATACAAGTGCTTGTGAACCATCTGATGTGGGAGCTTGCTCTCAGGAGCACTGAGCGCTCCTGGCCACTGAGCCATCTCTTCAGGTCCCCAAGGGATGGCCAATTTCCAACTCAACCTCATTTCTTAGATGTAGGCCCATCTTTCCCTGACCTAGAACTGGAACTGCAGTGTTTAAGCCCCATGCTCTCTGACTGTGAGACACTCTGTATAATGTCTCTGTCTCACTGTCTGTTTATTCCAGGAAGAAGTGTTACTCTGTGAAAACTACTCGCATGGTGGAATAACATCTATGAACTCTTTAAAAACACTTGTACATTTATTTATTTATTGTGTATGCGTGTATATGTCCGCATAGATACATGTCATAGCACACACGTGGAGGTCAGAGGATGTGAATTACAGGACAGTCGGGTCTCTTCTTCCACCACGTGAGAGCTCAAACTTGGGTGGTCAGGCTTGGTGGCAAGCGCCTTTATTCACCAAGCCATCTCCTTTTAGGTGTATATGATCTCATGAATTCTTTCTGTAGTGTCACATCTCTGATGTTTTCATGTATAAATATAAAACATTTGCACAAAGAACAAATCTATGTCTTGTCAATAGGAGAATGGAGTTAAATGATTGAGCTTGCTAATGCACAGTGTATTTTTAAATTTCAAAATACGCATGGGTTTTTATAATTGCCTTTTTTGGGTCTGTGGGTTGAGAAGACGTACTGTGTGGAGTTTCACTGTCATAATCAGTGCACTTTATGTTTATAGCATAGTATGTAGCCAATTTTTGTACATTCTAAAATTGTAATCTGCAATTCCAGAAAGTTTTCCAGGGACAGATTCTTGATGCTATGTTTACCTGGACGTGCTTTTTTTTTCCACTTCTTGGAGGCTGGTTTAGAGACCCAGCACTCCGGAAGCCCTCGGATTATGGGTTCATATTTTCTGCCACCAGAAAGGACCCCAAGCAGATTACTAAGGCTGCGTCACGTCCGGTCACCTTCTTCTCTGGGTGCGACTCATGGAAATGCTCAGTCTAATGCGTTTTGTTTATCAAGGTCCTCAGCTTTCAACCCAACTCAGAAGCCCGCATCCCCACAGAAGAACCCCAAGTTATTTTTGCTCAGTTCTTTGAGTTCCGGCCTCTCCCAGAGAACACTGCTTTTGGCTTCCATGTCTTTAAGTTTGCCAAAGTTTCACAGAAGACTCATTTTCTATTCTGCTGCCTTTACAACTGTGTATATTAAGAAAATTGGCTCAAACTACTCACTCTGCCGTTACTGGAGGAAGAATCCTTCCTAGTCCTGTTTTTAGCTGTATTAAATCTGCTATTTTAATTTTAATTTTTATATTATTTTTGTCTTTTTGGTTGTGAGCCTGAGCCTTTAACGGCTGCACCAGCTCTCCAGCCCAATTTTTATCTTTTCAATTGCAAGGGGATAAGTTAGATTCCTTGTTGTATGTTCTGTTTCTTGTAGAGCCAATCCTGTCTTTTACTTCTTTGAACATGTGTGTTCAGTTTTCCAAGATCTTTGAGGTTCTGATTCCGTTTTTTTTCATTTCTTGTAACTAACATTTCTTTAGGTGCTCTACAATTTTTTATTTTGAAATCGTGTTTACTGAACCCCTGTGGACCATCAGTGAAGGGTGCGTCTCAGAAAACCTTCGTTGACTGCCTCCTCCTTCGAAAGCAATTCTTGTCTTGTGGCACTGAAAATACGTGGTTTGAATGTGGACCTCAAACCCATGTGAACGTTGGTTTATGGTTTGACATCCTCAGAGGAGACTTTCCTTGATGCTACCCTCCCCTCCCTCACATCGAGGTGGAGGCAGGCAAGGCTCCTCACTGGACAGAGACAACTTTGGAGAGTTAGTAGAATCAAGTTCTCACATGTCTGAGACATTAGCTCGGCTGACAGTAGTTGGAGAGCAGCACAGCACAGTCAAGAGAGCTCCATGGAAGGACAGCGTGTGGCTGGCTCAATGCCCAGGGGAAAAGAGATGCTGGTCTTGGCTGTGCCTGCTGTAGTGAGGCCACTTCTCCTACCAGGGAACGTCCATGGTTCTGGTCACGTGCTCTGCCTTTCTGATGCCATAAGAGGGTAGAACAGGATTGTGGGACGCTCTCTCTATGGGAAATGTGGCCACAGCAAGTACAGACTACTTCTCTTTGGCCAAAGCTGTGCGATGGGGTTCATTTGGAGGAATTATCTACACATTATGAGTTCTCTACTTGTGAGCTTTCCTTGTGAGCTTACCTCCAAATAAACCAAGCTTCATGAGTCACGTAGACCCGGTGGTATTAACAGGGGATCAGCCAGGGGGTTAAGGGCACTTTTGTAGTTCTTCCTCCAATATTAGGAAGGAGTCTGCACGTGCGTGCTGACAGTGGCTTAGGGGGCACACCTTGCGCGTGGCTTGTTTGTTCCTTGTTAACTGTCTAGCCCAGGTGGTGCCTGGAGGAGCATAGGGTTGGCACCAGTGGAAACTTTAGACTCAGCACCCTAAAAGGGACAGCCTAGGTTGCTAGAGAATGAACAAAGAGTGCAAGGGGTAATGAGAGGTGCAGACATTGCAAGTCTCAGAAAGGTGGCTGCCATGTGGCCTGGGCAAAGACTGAGCTCTGGGATGACTTACTGCCTTTGTCCCTCCCTGTAAAACCTGCTGGCTGCAGGGGAGATGTGAAGGTGGTTTCTCCTAGGTATTAACCTGCATCCTCCTCAGATCACCAGCCTTCTGAATAAAGGGCCATTTAAGGACGCAATTCCTGCTCTACCAATGGCCTCTGTGCTCGTGGACAGCGCAGGCTCCAGCATTTTGGCTATAGGATGTGGGTGCAGTCCCACCTTCTTTTTCTGGTAACTTAAGGCATTCCTCATGTCTTCTGTTTGTCCCTTGACCAAGTGGCCTCTATGGTTGGTCCCCTCTCTGGAGTCTTTCATTTTTTTGTCTCTGAAGTTTTCCCTTTGTTTATTTTTCGAGATAATGTGCGTGCTTTAAAATGATTTCTTCTTCTTATTTATTGTGTGTATGTGCAGGATGGGGGGGCATGTATGTGCCACGGCATGCATGTGGAGGTCAGAAGACAACTCCATAGAGTTGGTTTTCTCCTTCCACCCCCGGGACTGAACTCAGGCTGTCAGGCTTGTGCAGTAACTGGCTAAGTCATCTCATCAGCTTGAGGCATGTATGTCCACTAATAGTTAAAGTTGGCAGAGTGTTTCAATTATGCTCACTAAGGGGACTTCAAGTAACTTCATGATGTTTGCTAAAGTAGTGTCTGTCTTCATAGGAGTGAAACTATAGTCAGCCTTTAGCGCTGTGTTCCCTTGCCATAACTCCTACTGACAAAACTATCTTGTGATTTCCCATACCACTCAGTCAAATCCTGTTTAGACAAAGCCACATATTCATTGTGAAAAGCAGAGATCCATTGTCTTTCCAACAATTAATGACTGAAGAGTGAAGAATTCCCAGCACAAATATTTGACATACAGAGAGAAAGGATACATGGTCTGTAGATTTAGAGGGCTGCCTAATTTCACCAAACTTGTTTTCAAATGGCACAGAACCCCTAATTCACCTGCTACCAGCACCTCTTCCCAATGTGTGTGTGTGTGTGTGTGTGTGTGTGTGTCTGTCTGTCTGTCTGTGCCTGTCTTTCTTTATGTAATTAATACTAGGAAAATAACTGTGTATGTCTGCATTCTACCTACCTGACTAAGGATCAATCCAGTTACAGTTGAAGAAATTAGGCCTCCTATCATTCCAACTAATGCTGTAATTGCTTTAAGAAATCCATAATATCTGAAAAAAGAAAGAGCACACAGCTGTCAACGTAGTACAAATGCTTCAGGTCAAGCCGCCCAACCAACCAGGTTTAAGGGAGAGAACTTCAGATTCCACAACCTACCGTTCCCAAGGCTCAAATTCATTAACATGGCAACAAACCTACCACATGAGCTGCGTCTGGTTGTTCCACACAGTGTCAGAAGGTTGACATTAGCAGTAAAGAATGTAAGACATCGAAAAGTGGGAGCATATTTAGAGTGAAACCCAGTCGTGTTAGGAAACGGGTAAGTACAGTGGAGAGATTAAGGTGACGTGTTGCTGATGGGAATTGGTTTAAGATTAATTAAAAGAAAACTGAAGGGCTGATCCAGGGACACAGTTCCAGGGTCACTGACCTTAAGGATTGTTGCCAAGCCTCAGGTGAGGAATGAAAAGCCTGTTGATAAGCAGCTTGGACCAGCGGGTCCTGGTTTTTCAAGTCAACCTCAGCAGGAAGTGAGCAAACTTTGCAGTATGGAAACTACAGAGAACAGACCAAGAAGAGGGCGAGTCCTCGGACCACGAGGAAGGGCCCAATCAGTGTCTAGTCAAGAACCGTCTGTTCCAGGCCTGAGAGCCGTGGGTTTTCAGTCCAGCCGATGTCAGAGTTTCTGTTTTCCCAGACCGTTTCTACTTCTCCTTTACGTGTTGAATGTGGGAGAGGCGTGGAGCCGGTGAGCCCACCAGCTCCTGCTCAGAGAAGAGTTCCAACTGGACCCTAAATATCGAACTGCAGTGGTCCCAGGTCGGAATTTTGAACCAGCTCCCTTGTTCACGTAGCAACGGAACCTTGGAGTTTGGTTGAGAACTGGAGGCAGTGAGGACTTTTCTGAATACTTGGGACTTTTGCCTCTACGAGCTCCATAAAATTATTAGGTTTTATATATTTTTATATATTTCTTGATTCATAATATTTTACTTTTCTTTTTTAATTTAAACTTTTTTAATAATTTTAATGTCAAGCAATACATTTTATAATATTTAGAGCCCCTCCCCATGTGCATTCCCCTTATAGCCCCACCCTGCTGGATTTTTATGTACTCTGTCATATATGTTGAGGCTTTGGTATAAGGACAAATACTTTAACATTATGTATTTAGTTATTTTCTTTTACCTTAAAGGCTATATTTTGTCTTCTTAAAATTAATAAAAACACTTTTGTGGGTCCTTAAAAAGTATTTAAGGTCCAATGCAACATCAGAACAGGCTCATGGAGCAAATTAGAGAGCCCAGAAATAAGCCTAGATATTTATGGCAAAATTGTTTTTTAACAAAAGTACCAAGAACAGAAAAAGGGAGAGGAAAAGAAGTGTTGGAGCAAATGGATATCCATGTCTACAAAAGGAACTGTACTTTTATCTCTGAAAATATGCAACATGGCAACTCAAAGGCAATTGAAGACCAAAACCACGACTTCAGATTCTAAAGCTACAAGAAGAAAACACCTTGAAAAACTCCAGGACATTGGTCTGGACAATGATTTTTTGGGATATCACACACACACACACACACACGAACAAAAGAAGAATGGAGTTCTATCAAACTCTAAATCTGCACAGGAAGGAAATGTCAACAGAGCAAAGAAACAACCTAAGTAGTGGGGAAAAATCCCAGACCCTTTGATAAGGGATTATTACTCAAAATATGTAAGAAATAAACTCAACATCAAGAAAATCATCTAATTAAAAATGTGCAAAGCACCTGAATAAACATTTTTCAAAAGAAGACCTACAAATGGCCAACAGATACATGAGCAATTGCTCAATATTACCCACTGACCAGGAGATGCAGATTAAAGCCAGAGAGAGACATTACCTTGCACCAATGAGGGCGGCTGCTGTAAAGAAGATGAGAGATCAGTGTCGTTGAGGCGGCAGAACTGTGCATTGGTATAGCCACTGTAGGAAACAGTATGGAGGCTCCTCAGGATGTTTAAAATAGACCCACCAGGTGACCCAGCACTCTTACTATTAGGCACATATCCAAAGGAAACTCAGTATGTCAACCAGATGCCTGCTTATCCCGTTAGCACCACGGTATTCACAATAGACAAGTTACAGAAACAAAAAATTAAGTGTCCATCAAGGGCTAAGTGGATGAAGAATGTGTGGTCTATATGCACAGCAGAAAGCTATTTAGCCTTTAAAAACAAGGGAATCCTGGGGGTGATATAAATATAGTGCTCACACATGAAATTGTCAAAAAGTTAAAGAAAAAGGAAATCATGTTGCTTTGGACAACATGGAAGAACTCGGAGGGCATTATATTGAGTAAAATATGCTGGCCACAGAAAGTCAAATACCACAGGATCCCACGTACATGTGGAATCTACAAACCTAGTGTGGGGCTTCATACTTTTGGTCCCAGCATTCAGGAGTCAGAGGCAGGTGGATCTCTGTGAGTTCCAGGCCAGCCTGGTCTATGTAACAAGTTCCAGCCACATACATGCAGACAATACACTCATACGCATAAAATAAAAATAATAAATAAAAATATTTTTTAAAAAATACAAAGTTTCACAGTAGGTCATACCAAGATCTAGACAGGCCAACTAGACTCCAGTGGATGAATTTGCACACAAAGGACATCTGGTACAAATGCTTGACTGGATAGGACTTAACATGTATATTGGAATACATGCGGTCTGGTGGGGGGCAGGGGTGGGAAGGCCTGGATGGGGGAGGGGATCTAAATTTGATTAAGAACTGTTGTATGAAATGTACAAAAGCTCAATAAATTTTTTTTTTTAAGATACCAAGTTTGGGCAAAGACCAAATGCTCTCAGATAAACCCATGGAGACCCCACCAGATGGACTTGAACCAGTGTCCAGTCTACAAAGAGGAGGGTCAACACAGAGGAAACATTTCCTTCATGCTTCCAAGTGAAGCCAACCATGGTCGAGCAGGACCTTTGATTTATCTTCACATAAATGGAACTGGTAAAAGAAAGGAGCCAGGGGCTCCTCCCAAGCCCATGTGACCCCTGAGGAACCGATCCTCAAATGACCTTAAGAGTAAAAATAAATTGGTTTATCTGGGCCAATTGTATGGTCTTAAACACCCAAAAGGAAAGTATAACCAAAGATTAATGAGGTCAATAAAAAAATTTAAGAGTTCATATGTATAGACAAAAGCTAAATACAACACAAGAAACAATGTCAGACAGGTGATACCTTTCTTTGAGTTATTGGCCAGGGTGGCCCAAAAGACTCCCAGACAGTAACCCAGCATAGAAGTGGGAAACTGAACAGCAGATCCCAATCTTATCTAAAGAAATATGGACAACTGATTGCTGCTAGACAAGGAACAGCCGATCTTCCTAAAACAAGGATCCCTAGATAGGCTGACTAGATTCAGCAGTCGGACAAGCACTGGGGAATGGCTGGGGGTGCCGACAACACAGTGGACAGTAACAGGGATGACAGAGTATATGGGCTCCAGTGTGTGTGTGGGTGATATGGGAGGGTGCCATTTGGGAAGTGCATTTGGGAAGTGGGTATATAGATGAATAAGATTGTTCGAGATGCACACACACACACACACACACACACACACACAAATCAACAAATTAAAAAAGAAGACATATTTGAGGAGGAAGCATAAAAATGTACTTCCTGTTAAATAGTAGAGGTAATGAACATTACCAATGAAATCTACGTGATGACTTTATATCCATACTCAGGTACTAAGAATCCGAGTGTAACTGACTGTGACTAGTAATGATCAGATATATAGAGATTAGAAATGCATGTGCAAACATCTTAATGTCAATTTGTATTAAAAATGAATTTT